TTTTAGTAAGTTATATCGATAAAATTAAAGTATTAATCTGAATGTTATACCAGGAAATTTAGAAGTTTTTCTGTGTCAAACTAAATTTCACTTCAGTCTAAATGAACTTTTTATGAGTTTTCTCATGTAAGAAAATTTAAAGGTTTTAAGTGCGTGACAAATTCTTATGTTAGGCCAAGGTCATACTTTTAGGAAAAATGAAATATGTTTTAGAAGATATATTATAGATTCCAAGAAAAATGTGGAAAATTAGACTTTATGAAATGAATTAATACTTTTGACAGCTGGACGAAATATCAGCGTCCTAATGTACAATTAACAGATTTATGTGAGCATAGCAGCATTTAATAAAAAAATTTCTGACTTTATTCAGTAATACTACACTAACGATGATAACTTTTACAGTATCCCTAAATAGTATGTCACCTAGTGAGCGAGGTTAAGAATGTCGCAGATTTCACGTGAATAAACGCCCGAGGCAAAACCGAGGGTGGTTAACGTGAAATCCAGGACATTTTTTAACCTCTGAACGTGGTGAGTATACTATTGTTCTGCATACCTTCGCCGAAAGGGCTGATTATCTGTTTTGGAGCAGGTCACATATATGAAGCAATTTCGGCGGGGGTATATGCAGAAAAGGTTTTGCATGCATTAGAACACCTATATATACATAAATGTGTCTGAAGCTCTTTTATTTATTTCATCGGAAAAGTAACTATAGTAGATTCCTCTGGAAACTATTCTTAATCCTTTTTTATGGTTTTGCATTATGTATAACAAAAAATTGGGCAAACTGTACAGACTATTTTTTCATGAAGTCAAATTTCATGTAACGCTTCCATAAGGTTACATGTTAAATTGATATTTTCTTAACATCCAACATTTTCAGCAAATCTATCAGAAAACTAAGCTTGTAATGAACATCCGGTAGGCCTTTTACATACTGCATTGGTTACCACAAATAATTGCTGCTATCTCATACTGAAGTCCTAAGAGTTATTTTTCTTTAAGTTGGTACATACTATTAATAATTCAAATTTTCAGTAAACGACTGTATATTTGCATAATTGAGTATTATACATAAAGAACGAAGGATTTTTATTTTGATGCATTCAGCACTGGGTTCAAATTATTAACCCTTTGCTACTTAAAATTTCGATTTTGTAAAATATATTGCGCTCCTAATATTAAAAAACTAGAAAAAAAATATTTTAATCAAAACTAAACTTCTTTCCTTACTTGTTCATTGATTGATAATACATTTATATCAAATTATAACAGTATCCACTAGATTTTACAATGTAATCTTGCTTCCACACACGCAGCCATGTGTGTGTGTGAACGCGTGCACATGTCCGAAAAACTGTTTTGCGTTTGATTATTTTACCTAACATGCAGTTCAAGAACTATTTTAGAAGTCATTATTGAGTATATATACGAATAAAACTCGATACTGCCTTCCATGCCATCAAAAAAAAAATTCAAGAACTTTCTTGCTAATCAGTTCAGGCAATAAATGACAAATATGCATATAGTTTGACTCATATAGTTTTGTTGTGCTGTTAAAAAATTCCTAAGAATGTTAAGTTTTCAGTCCCAATTTCATAAATTTCGTTTCCATTTTGAATATAGTACGGTGCATGCTTCATGGCTCAACCTCTACAATTATTTGTTATTCCATCTTTTTCCATGTAATAAAAACTATAATTGCATAGAAAATTTATTTCTGCAATATAAAAAACTGCAGATATAACAAACATGCAATGATAAAAATCTGTTTGCATCTACCCTCCATTTTTATGACTGAATAGAAACCATTGAGTTCGTTACGTTATACACATAAGTAAAATACAATGTGAGAAATAACGGATTAGTGATCTTGGTTGTGTACATTAAAAAAGGAACATGCCTTTCTGAGCAAAAATAAAATTTACCTGCCGAGGCATAAAAAAAACCAGGTATGAGTCTCGTGACTCCCGGTAAAAGTAAAACTTCTGATTCAAATGTTATTAAACTCGGTATAACAGAAACTGAGAAAAAAGGATAATACGGAATTTCAGTAGGTCTTTAGAATTTGGTATTAAAATAGAAAAAATTTTATTGTTCTTACGTATTTGAGCACGTGTGTGCATAAAGTACATCTACTTAGACATACTGCTTATGTTACACGTGATTCGCGCAGTACTTCCATGTTTGCAATGATATATGTATGAATATATGTATGAATTGTTAGTCATATAATGCAGAAAAAAACAGAAATATTCCCTATACTACCCCGAAAAAAGGTACTTTTGTCTAGTTACGCAGGACAAAAATTCCTTTTATTTCAAATTACTATTTGTGTATTTGATTTGAGATCGTATATGTACAATAAATTCTAGTTTAAATCTTTGGATCCGACCAATAAGATTTTTTTAATTTTGTCGACCATAAAAGTAAAGTGATCTACTCCAACTGATTGAGATTAAGGAAAACAATAGACGTATAGCTTTTTTTCATTGCAAAGTTGTAATTTGTCATCTACTTCATTTTCTATGATTATTTATAAATTAACATGAAAATTAACCCGTGCTTATAACTAATTTCTACTAATCTCAAAACTAATAATAGGAAAATAGGTTTTGGTTACGTGACAATTATTTTTACAATACATAATAAAGAATAAAAAATAAGTCAATTTATATCTAGAATATGTAGGATGTAGCTTCCCCTTCGAGGGATGACTTTTATTTTTTTTGGAATAATTACAATTGTTTGTATGAATCCGTGAAATTTATATTTTTGCACTTCAATACTTATTTTCTATACGTAAAATTATTTTAGGCCTATCAGGGTTCCTTTTCGAGAAACGACTGTTTTTCTCATTTTGCGAGGTTATGTTGTAACAAAAATTCTCCGAAGATTTTGTCAACATACGTGCTGTTCGTATGCAGAAAGTCCATCTATTTACCTCCAAGACAATGTAGAAAATTAGATGAAAGAAGGTATTTTTAAGTTAATATTCATGTATATGAATATAAAGTCGGTGGAGGCCAGTGGAAAACCTCAATAAAAAATAATACAAGTCAAAATAATGGAAAAAAGACTGAATTATTCCTTATTCTCCTTATATTGTATATTATGTGCAATTGCTGCATATATATTCTTATACATATTATATCGTAAATTAAACATTAATTAAGTCCCAAACAGCACCCCTCCCGGATAAGTTAACTTTCTATAAGCCTTCTGAGGGAAGAAACATGTTGTTATTACTTAAAGCTTTTTTACAAATATTTATGTATACAGTACAAAAATATATTGAAGGTATATTAAGATGTATCATTATCTGGAAACCTTTTATCTAGTTTTAAAAATACATGAGCAAATATTGAATGATGCTTATTTTTTAACATTGTTAACTATACACTAACTAGCGTGGAGCTAACAGATCTCTCATAAAAAATAATTTATTAACAACGATTTGACATTTTGAATTAATAATAAGCAAATATTGGTAACCTGTAATAAGTCAAGTCATTAATAGTTGTTAACAAGTAAGTATTTGTTGTGTTATTTCTTTTTTCCGATCTTTATTACTTGTCAACGAATTCTGCATTAGTTGTTGAGGACGGAATATCTTCTTAAATTTAAGCTCATGGGTATTCGTAGTTACCTAAAGAGCTTTACTTCTTCACAAGTAATTTTTTACATACTAGTGTAATTAGTAACGTTATCTGCGATCGTAAATAAGTTTTTTTATAATGTTTCACAGAGAAGAGAAGAGAAGAGATATAGTTCAATTTTTTTTTGCAATGATCGCGCACTATAATGTTTACAGCATCGATTGCCACCTTTTGGACTGTTCTTTCCTACTTATGTGAAGTGTGATCGATAATTTAGAGGGGATGTTAAAGCAAAATGTTTTTTCTCTTAATAAAATTTAGTTTCAACATAGTTATCTTTCCATGTATGCAGAGTTGAACTGGGTAGACTGTTGTTTCAGGATGTTTCAATAAGAAAAATGTACATTGAAATAGGAGTTGAATACGAAAGTAAACATTACTACAATTTTTAGTTTTGTTTACTTATTTACAAGGCAAGTATATCTTTAAAATTGTATAATAATTTTAATTAACGGCAAACCAATTTAAATGTTTCCAGAATAACTTTTGTCACGTGTGTTTATCTTTTTCTGACTTATTTATGAACGTATTTTCTTAAACATATTTATTTTCTTATAAAAACAGCATCAATAATCAGTAGAAAATCTTATCTTCTATCGAATCCAAATGAATGTATAAAAAAATCCCCCATACATACACGCACGCATGCCTGGATGGCTAGATGCACGTATGCACATACACGCACACCGTTAATACACCTATGTAAAGAAGTTTAAACGAAAGCACGTGACAAGTACTGCTGTACGTGCCCTTTATGCTGGTTTATCCCCGTTTTATTATTTTACTGTATTTCAAGAAGCAATTACCCTGCACTGACACTGTTTTAACGCACACAGTGAAAAATGTGTAGGTTAATTTAAAATTTTTTATTTAAGAAATAATACTAGAGCACGAACACAATTCCTTTCTCTTGTTTAAGATATACTAACAACGTTAAAAGAAAGAAAATAATAAATGATATTTAATACTATTTATAAAATTATGTTAATACTTATAACTATGCCTGGTTTATACATATGGATAAGCATATACTTATTTAGAGAAATATTATTCAACGGAGACTTTAAAATATTTATCGTAATTTAATGAAATAGTCTGAATACTTTAGGGTGGCCTGTCCACAACTTAAGAAGTCTTTCTTGTAATAAATGACAACAGGAATACCTATCAAGCAGTCAATGTCAAAAGTGCATGAGAGTGTTCATTACAGATCAATAAAGCATACTGATCGTATAAGACGCTTACGCATGGATATTAGATGTATATATATGTAGAGCAAAGGTGAATCTCAAGTTGTATAAATGTGTGCATGTAGTTGTAGTAAAAAGAACTTACCTGCTAAAAAGTCGAAACAAGGGGAAAGATCAAGTGCGGCTCATCAGAGCGCTATACGTACTACTGACACAACTGCTTCTGCTGATAAATACCTATACACTATAATAGGGGGTCAACAGGTAGTCTCAATAACGACTCCAGGGAGACGTAAACAAAGCTCTTCTCTCTTGTTTATCCACCCCCTAAACAAGCTGTTTCACTTTTAGAGTACGGGTGACAAGTTTTTTTAGTCTGTTTACAGTTGAAGTCAGTGCATAATTTGTCGTACTAGGTACAAGTATAACTCGTATGTCAGTCGCACGCGAGTGGGCAATGGGGATCTGGCTAAGTGGACGAGCCAGCTCTATCTGGCACCCTCTTTCCCTGGTGGCGTTGGTGGCGCCGGATGTGCAGTCTTCGTTCTTCTTCTTTCGTCCTGTAGCATCCGGAGCTTGACGCAGTTGCGTCATTAAAGGCTAGCCTGGTCTGCTGCTGTTGCTCTCATTCTCATATCAATATCTATCCATGATGGCCCCATATCTTTTTATCGGCATTGGGCGTGTAGAAACTGTAAGTATTTTCGGTAGGCACATTGCAAATATGTATATGTATGACTCGTCGATCATTCCACACACTAACCATAGTTGCTGCACTTTGCTCATGACAGTTTTATACTTTAGACTAGGATACTTACGAATATGAATATCTGTAAGGCTTAAGTAACGGAATAGCCACCATGGGAGCCAACTCTGCTTAAACTAGAAGATAGCCGTTTACCCTCAATATACACATTCCCTCCCGTTGAACTTTGTTCTCCAACTGTCGCAGTGCACTTATGTTACGACTATACCTCGATTTATTAATGTATTGAATATTTAAGTCTTTTTTTAGTGATTCTCATTCTTTCGTACAATAAGTCCATATTTATAAGTCCATAAACATATGTAGACAAGCTGTCTGGGCAGTTATAAAGATGTTTTCGTTTTGCTTAAGACATAAAGAGTTTGGCAACTTTTTTTACATAATAGTATTATACACTTTTTTTTATCTATATTACATCAATTTTATTTATACAGAAAACAAACTAGACAATCAATTAAGGTGGCTCCTCACTCAATCAAAACACTGGAGTATTAAATAATATTTTAAAGGATGATTCTTGAAGGTGCAAGGAGTCTTTTTCCAAAATTTGAGACCTCGTCACCACCAAAATTGTTGAAAAAAACTAACTGGAAAATAGACTCTGTAACATAGCCTCTTATGGAGGGTCGTCAAATTGGTGGCGCAGGTTGTATGATATCTCAGCAAAGATACTGTAGTTCGATCTTAATAGAAAACTATGTAGCAGATAGAAGAAATCAGAATCTTTCCAACGACATTCAGGTACTTGGACATTACCATGGGTTCTATAGGATATTTTGTGAAAATAGTAGATAACTGTGCAAGTCACGGAACAGATGAAAAGTGTGGGGCGTCTGCTACACCTAAGAGCGGTAGCCCGCGTAGTTTGAATTGGTCAGAAAGTTGTACGTAAAATGAATAGGAGTTGTGGGGAATCGTAATTATATTAAAAATAAATGAGACGCTGAACAATGAAATTAATTTAATGCGGGGCTGACTTATGTACTTTTTTGACTAATAGATAAAATTAATAGAATATATCACGATAAAGTTAGGACACGGTTGTATTTACTCGTCACTAATAAATAACTTGTAGATTTTTTCTAAAGTTTTTTTGTCTTTGGTCACCCGTGGCTTATTATTAACATTTTCAGAGAGTAAAATGTGGAGACCCTCTTTACCGTTTGTGCTGAATGCTTCTTGTAAAACTGTATTAGTAATACCAGTTTCTGCCATTTTTTTTATTATTCTTAAAGACAAGTTGTCTTTCTACTGTAATAAAGTAACTTTATTCTGTACTTTAAGTACTTGTCTTTTTTGTTAGGTACTTATGGTCAGCTTATTATTATTTACATACAAGGGTTATGTTATCAGATTTGTATACATACGTCTGCTTGGGTCACTGTATTGTACGATGTAGGTCAACGGTGTAGATGTGACTAAACTTCTTTTGAAGGGACTATAGGTACCTATCTATTTTTAGTCAAGAACCTCCACAGCCAATGAAAAGCTGTGTTGCAGTTTGCTTATTCTTCTTGTAGGATTTATAGTGAGGAGCCACCTTAAGAGCAAGAGAAATGTATGATAAGCTTGACGATGTCTTTGCAAATCTGATAATGATAGAAAATGTCAGGATATCTAGAAAATGTTTGACTTAACTTTAAATTTACTTTATCTTTAATAATACATCTTCGCTCTGAATTTTCCTTTTCTGCATTAAAAACTTAAAGTTTTAACTGTTACGTTAATAAATATTATTCCATACCAAAACTGGACTGAAAAATGCCAAACAAACAACTGTACTATCGATATGTTATTAGCATTGCAGGTACATATATTTTCGTTGATTATCTGATGCTTTATTCTAAAGGAGGCTTGGTTATTTTTAAGGAGATTTATTCATTCGCTGAAAAAAATTATTGTTGTACTTTAACTTTTATCAGCCGAATTTTCAGGAAAAAAATTGCTAAAATTGCATGATTTAACATGGATCTTATAGGCGAGAGCGATTATTCAGCCTTTGTTGCACAAATTTTGAGGCTATAGAGATTTTTTCATGATGAAAAAAAAAGTTCAAATGAATAGCTCAACTTCTAAGGAAGATTCTCGTGTTAAAAAATGTGCACATTATCAGGCATTTGTAAGAAATATCTGTGCAAACGTAAACAAAGTCTCGAGCAGGTCTTGTGCTAAGTGTATGGGAGAGAACCAAGCATCGTCTGCTGTCAGCTGGCCTTTTCATGTGGAGCGATATGGCCTTACAAAACTGCTTCTAGAACTTGTTAAACTGAAAATTATGATCTGAAACTTGCCCTGGCTTTCTTTAGACTTTAAACTATAATGCTGTCCAAGAAAGGTTTGTTTTTTTAAAATTCATAACACACTTTTGTGGACAAAAGTTGAGTCTCTTCTTACTTTTTTAAGGCTATTTTTATCGTTCAAACAACATGTTATCAAGTTTTTTTACTCAAACTGTTGGAAACAAGCTGCTTTAAATTATGTACCATAATTTTTTCATAACATTTAATGGTTTAGCTTTTGAGCACTGACGAGTTAAACACAGTTAAATTAACCGTGATGCAGTAGGCACACGTTTTCATGCTCGGTTAGTACAACTCACATTAACACGGTGTCTTATGGGAGTCCCTGCACACCCGCTCCCCCCAACCCACCCCCGGGAAAATGACCGAACCTCCTTAAAAATCTGCCAAATAAAAGTTACCCCAGGGAAAATAGTGGTAGAAAAAGTGTTACGACTATAATAAAAATTTATATATTTTGTAGAAAAGCTGAGACACACTCGCCAAATAATAAAAATTACTATGTTGCGTAGTAAAACCAGATTATATCATAACTTTCCATTTAACTTATTAATTTCTTGTTTGTTTGGAAATAATTTTCATATTAAATAAAAGAAGAATACATATTACACTGGAAATATATGTATGTAACTCAAAGAAGGTTAAGACAGTACTTTAGATTCTAAACTATGCTACGTAACCACTAGACCACGTTAGATTATGTCTGCTTTAGTATCGATAAAGTTCATGTGAAACCATGGTGTTATAAACGCATAATTAGTCAATTCGAAAATAATTATCTGCACATATCAATTTTTAACTACTAAATCAAAAAATGTATTTCTCTTAATATTGACATTAGTGTAACCTCAAATTTGAAACTCAATAGGCGTGTAAACCTATAAATATTGTATAAAATTACTTTTGAATATAGTGTGACGTTCTCGTTATTACTTGCGGCTAATTACCGAGGAGAAAATCACGTTGTTGACTATAAAGGAGTCGTGGGTTCACGGTACTTACCTAGACCATAACATTCTATCTAATGCATGAAATAAAACTATGAATTATCTCCCGCCCTTCTAATGCTCCATGTAGAGATGAAAAGATAGGAACTATGGAAAATTTAGATGTTTGTCAATACTCAATGTATTACAAGTATATCAAACATCCAAAGAAAAGGTAATATGATCCCTTACCCGCAAACCTATAAATTATCTTATGGTGGCTAACGTTGCAACTTCGTGAAAGGTGTCATAGTACATATGAATAGTTTTTCAACGCAATTAATATGCGAAATAACGTGTTAATCGAAAATATCATGTATTCAATCAAGTTTTATACACAGGAGCGCGTGGCTCGAATTACATAAACGGCATAAGACGCTAAAGTTCAATACGCTATTCTTAAAACAAATAAATTAATTGAAATTCGTTAGAAAAAAATTATCAAAAGAATGATTCAATAATTAATGAATAACAAGAATATAAAAAATAGCTGACGTAATGTGTATGCGAAAGGCTCGGACACAATGTCTCACCAAGCACGTCGCTATAGGCCAGTGTTGTGAGATCAGTCTAGAAGCCCGAGAAGCAAGGTACTTTGACCTGCTAGGCAGAGAATCTAGAGCTAGAATCTGATGTGGCTGTGTCTTGATTGTGCAGCAGACCTGGGTTTTTTGTTGGCTCGGCAATTGCTTCGTGAGGGGGAAATTTGCGGACTCTCATCATTGATAGAATGTTGTTGTCTCTTTCCCTCTACTCCTGCACTTCATGACGCACACTATGCTATATTTGCATATCCTACTTATCGGCGGCAGCTTTAAACACTGAATAATAATTTTATATTTTTAATAGTTGAAATTGATTAAAAAAAATTTACTATTTTTGGGTAGGAGTGACCGATGGTCACAATAGTAATTTTTACTATACTGAATAGCAATGCAGTGGAATGAGAAATTTTACTACGTCACATAGCAAGTTATACTTTAGAATGTGAGACATTTTAAAATGTAGTGTATAGTGTAGTTTTGCAGCTTATTAAGTAAACCTTGGTAATGGCATTCCTATGCAGGCCAGTGAAATTAGACAAAAAAATACTCACTTTTAACTTAATTATGGACAGGTTTTAACACAGTTTTACTTGATTGTTAGCTTATAACCAATAGAGCTTTAAATTTGTCCAAATAATTTACTAAAAAGTTAATTTAATTTTTTTCTTTTTGAAACGAAAAATATTTATAAATTCATTTAAAAAATATTTAAAATATTAGCTTGTTATCTTATAGCTCTTATCTTTATTTAAAAGAAACGTAATGTTTAAGACTAATTAGGCATACTCTAAAGCTAAGATGTAAGAAATTGATGTTTTTTGCACTAGTGGACTAACAATAAAGTTTTTTATTGCAAAAAAATATGTATTACACCTTCATGTAC